CATTTTCTGTAACTGTTTTTCATGCAGAATTGCGTCAAACCTAGCTGGTTCCTGAGTCGGAACTGCTCTGTTTTCCTGAGTTTTTATCCAAACCTGTTTTATAAAGTGATACAATACAATGATTTCTCTGTCCTAAGGTGCTATTTTGTTCTAATGTAAAGACTTATGGTTCATCAGAATTTTTTGTAGCTCTCCCTTGGGATTTTCTGCTTAGACTAACTTACATCTTCATATTCTGAATAGGGTTCTAGAAAAAAATGGCAAAAGAAAAAAAATACAATTCTGGTTTTTACTTGGAAATTTCCCCTTTAACATGTTTAACTAACAAGTCTCTTTAATAATAGGAGCCTGACAAGGAGGATTTGGAGGAAGTAAGTAGTAAGGGGACAAGGCTTGTCAGCACCCAGTTTTGAGAGATTGTTTTGCATCAGGAGCATGAACTAAACCTTATTAACTAACGCCTTTCACTATGCTTTGAATTGTGAAGTTTTGAAATTAAATTACCTTCTCGTTGAATTTAATCCCTCCTATAATCCACTGCTGTTTTCATGGCTGTCTTTTTGACTTCACCTTTTCTGATGGTCACATTTTCCTCCTCTTTTAATAACTGACATGACTCTTCAGAAGTATTTGAAAGCATGCATTTGCAGTGTGGCCATATACATCTGTACCTGCTGTCATACTTTCTAGTTTGAATGCTCCTGGAAGATAATTAAGTATGGGCTTCTTAATTAATATAGACACTTCTTTAGCTTTTGAGGGGATTTCCAAAAGATATATTTTGTTGTGTTGCTGATGCAGTTACCTTCAGACTGGACTGCATGCTCACCACACTGCTTTATCACTTATTTAAAGGTCTAAGAGAGAAAGTGCTTTAGTTTCTTGCCTATTCATATGATTCTTCCCAGTGTGTCTTCTGCAAACTTGGGGCCTTGAGTGGGGGGGCATTGAATGATCTGAAAAAATGCTGTAAAATCTGTGCAGAGTAAAGAACCAAGCTAAGTACAAACAAACAAGGTAACAAACAGTGTTTTTTGTGACTACCTGTTCTCAGGGACCAATAGGAAGTCCTGCCTTCATTGGACATTCTCTATTTTCTGTTTGTTCTGCTCTTTGCTTTGTAAGAGAAAAAAAAAAAAACATTTAAAGAATGGGTAAGTTGAGCTGATTCCCTTTTTTTATACTAGGGACTAGATCATATATCAGGTGTAGAGGCACTACTACCTTTAAGCTTGAGTTTTAGTGATTATTTACTATCAGCCAGGGTAGCTTGAATACTCTAGTTCAATATCATGTGCTTGGGACAGGCTCCTTCTCCCAAAATATATAGATTTTCTTTAAATGGAGATGTGTACCCAAGTACTAGCTATTTGTTATTTAATAAGAGAAAAATACATTGTTCAGTGGACCACATATAAAGAAATATGTTCTGGCAAATAATCTGAGACTCTTCAATCAACAGGTAAAAGCTCACCAGCTCAATATGTTCAAGCTATTGAAAAACATGGTTAGTAGGAACCCAAAGGGTGGTTGTCATGCATATACTTCTTGGCCATGATGGTCCTCCGTGGGCACTTTTCCACTTCCGTTACCAAAACAAGATTTGATTGTTACCATCACCATTTCACCCTTTGACACAAGCATCAAGAATGGCCATCAAATAACCCCAAGAAAATCATTGGACTCCTTCCTTTCTTATTTAGTAATGGTTAGCATACCTCACTCAGGTAATGCTGTATGTGGTTGGCCAGTGCCAGGCTTTGGTTTAGTTGATTTTTGGATGTTGTGACTTTCTAGCAGGTTTGCTTGTATGGTGATTAAATGTTAAACAGAGGAATGCCAAGATACTGAGAAGTCAGAGGTACATGGAGAATGGCAACATGGAAGTATGCTATGTTATGTCAGAAATGATAGGTGAATAGGAAGAATGGTAGGTGAATAGGGAGACCACAGAGATGTTATGGTGATAGGTGAATAGGGAGATCAATAGTCAGAGGGAAATAGGTGATAAAAATGCGAGAGACAGGAGGATGAGAGTGGGGTAGCTGCCTATTCCATATAGGTACAGAGACGTGTAGATTGGCAGCTCCCTGTACGTCATGCAATGCAGGATAAGCAGTCCCAATTTAGCCAGCAAATAAGTTTGTGTTTTTGTGTGCATTCCTTTTAATTTTAAGCCTGAAACCCTAATGCATAAATTAGGAATACATAATTTTTCTCTTCAAGGTGAGGAAATAATGGAAGATAAAACCAGCATAGCTTACTATTTTTAAAGTTCATTGTTTGTATTAAATACATATTTTCTGGAGGAATCTGATTTATGACTTAAATACTCATGGTTGGCATTATAGTGTTGTCCTGCATGTCAGTTCCTGGCTTAGACTCTGATGTGTTACTGTAATCCTACACAGTTCAGTAAAAGAAACATTTCTAGAGGTGCACCAATACATCGGATTGGCATCCATATAAGGAAAATTGACTGTATCAGCAGTCAGCTTTTTTTGGCTGATGTGGCTGATAATGCCACGGATAAATGCCCCTTGCATGTGCACGTCTGCAGCACAGCAGGGTGGTGGCCAGGAGCACAACCCGACAGCGTGGAGAGCAACCGGGTTCGGCTGGTAAGTCTGTTGTGAAGGAAAAGGTAGGAGGGGGCAGGCAGATCAAGGCCTCCTGCAGTGAGGGAGGGAGTGGGGCTAGGGTAGGGATAGGTGCTGGGCCAGGCACTGCCGAGGTAGGGCTGAGCAGGTGATGGAGCCGCTAACAGCTCTTCTGGGGGAGGGGTGGGGAAGAGGTGGCTCCCACTGCTACGTGCACCCCAGGAGAGTGTGTGGGGGGGGTGTCCCCGGACCTGTGATGGGGGGGGGAGGGCGCACTACGGTGAATTTTGGGGTGGCTTCACCTCCCCCCACATAATCTTCTCCCAGTGCTGCTTCCTGCCCCAAGTGCAGCCCAGCTCAGCCCCCATACCAGGAATAACCTGGTGCTGCCCTGGCCCCATCCTGCAGTGGCAGCCTGCCCTCGCTCCGCATGGATCTGGGGACATATGCCCCCCATGCCCTCCCAGGGTGCATGCAGCATCAGGAGCTGCTTACCCCTTCTCGTGCCCCCTGGACAAGCCGCTTGTGGCTCCGTCGGTCCAAAAATTCTCTGTTGGTGCACCTCTAAAAATTTCTGGGTGTTTTTTTTTTTTTTGGCTTCACCCCCTCACCTTGAAAAGAACCTCCTGAAATTATTATTGCATAATTTTGCTGTCTTGTACAAAATTTGGTATCAATTAATGGAAGCTGTAGTGCAGGCATAAATACTGTGGGTGCATCTACACAAGGAATTCAGCTGACCCAATAAAGTTTGGCACAGTTTGTGCCAGAGTTAGCTGCTCCTGTGCACAGCATTTACGCATGTGCATGGGACCAAAGCAATTTGAACCAGGGAGGAGCAGCCCCGGGCTGACAGAGGACCCAGGGTGGGTCAGCCTTGGGCTTGGTGGCGGAGGGGCTGGGGCACAAGAATGGGCTGGCAGACAGCCCTCGTATTGCAGCACCCTTGTGCCCCAGCCATCCCCTGTCACAGTCTACGTGTGCCTTTGAGCATATGTAATTATTCCGCTATGGGACAGTACTATGTCCTGACCCAATGGTTGAGTTAATTAATTTACTGAGCCCTAATACATATAGACTGTAATGCTTTACTGCTCAGCTAATTAGTCAGCTCTGCAGTAAAATTCGTGTGTAGATGCACACCGTTATGCTAACACACATTGGGCCTACCTTTAGGTAGAGAGGGGTAAAACAATACTTGTCAGACCTCATGTTCTTTGGTAGCAAAAAATTTGAGCATCAGTATACCAGTACTGTGTTTTGCATATGTTTGATCTTATACTAGACTTGGGTACTTCCACTTTTTTTTGAAAAAAAGCATCAGAAACTTCTGATATTTCATACTTCTAACAGGGGTTTATTTTTTGTTAACCATATTTGAATTACTAATGTATTGCCTATGAACAGTTGTTGAGCCACAATAATTTTCTGAACAGAAGATTTAAACTTTTAAATGACAAGTCTTCAGTTTTTATTGTATAATGCAATATATTGTGATGATTCTGTATTAAAAAAAGATCAAAGGCTCTTATTGTGCAGAAGGTAAAGTCAGCATTTTAACTTTTTTTTGTTTGTTTTGCTCCATATTCTATGCATGATGACGTATTGTTTTTGCAAAAAGTTGATGGCATTTTTACACTATTATTGATTTTCAGGTTCAAGGGACTGCTAGCCTGCTTTTTTTTATTGTTCTTGAGCTGTTCAAAGTGTAGGCCACATTTTAATTAACTTTTTGCCTATTAGCAGTCCATGAATCAATTGCATAACATCTCTGTGATATCTATAGAAATGCTTAGGTGAAACAGAATTATTAGGAAACTATTTAATTCATTTTAATGAGGTAAGGAGGCAGAAAAGAAGTATGGTTTTACCAGCAAATGCTCTGCAGCAAACGTTCTGAGAGCTGCCTTTGCAGCATTGCTGGCATAGGCAGCCGTAATCTTATCAGCTCTCTAAATCACTTTTAAAGAAAGATTATATTTATGAAGTTTATAGAAAATCTTAAACTCCTTTGTGTTAATGATTTTTTAAAAGATTTTAGAATCAAATGTTTTGCACAGAAGAAGCCACTAAGTCATTAATAATGTTATGCTAGAGTACTGCTCTTAAAAAAAAAAATGCCCCCTTTCTGTATGTCATATAATGAATTCAATTAAGCTGAGTGGCGTGTGTGTGCTGCCATTTGTCATGATGGATGTTTTGAATCCCGGGAGTAATTAATTTTACAATGCGGGTTAATTGTTTACAAAGGCTGCTATGCACATAATGTAGAATTGTTTTAAATTTCCTCACTTTCTTTTCCTAGCTTCACACGCTAATGTCTTTTGAAAATTATAACTTGGAGATATTCCTTTTAAGTTGCAGCAATTTAAATACTATCACTATATATTCCCATGGCAGCTCACCAAATCTCATCGACAAGGTCACATGGTAAAAGTAGACTGGCTGGACAGACTGACCTTTAGAGAAATAGAAATGATCAATGAGGTACGTCATCATATATCAGCTTTCTAATGGGTTTTTTGGATTTTGCTAGTATGGAAGCCTTGGCTTGCTTGGGAGACTGTAATTCAAATAACTTGCTCTATTTTTCTTTTCTTTTGTGCACATTGAACAAAGTACTCATTCTGAAAAGTTAACTTACTCTTGGATTAATGATACAAAGATGGATGAAAATAGTCAGCTCTAAATATTAGCTGTCAGTATTAATGTTCTCATTAATTTAAAGATGAAAATAAAAAAGCCAAACTATTTCTAGATTAAGTAAGTAGACAGGGGAAAGGTTTAAAGTCTTATCTTACAGTTCTAGAGCAAATATTGTTTGGGTATGACTGACATGGCTTTAAAGTCTTAAAGTGGTCTGATCATCTTAAGAAGAAGAAAAAAATGAAAGTTGTCTCAATAACTTCTCTCAGTGTACTTCAACCCATGCAGATTCTATTACATTTACTGTGCTCTAATGGACTTAAATCATTTTGTTCTAAATTTTGCTGGCTTGGGCAAAAAAACAGTGCGTTTACAGACTCAAATCCAATGCCTTTGTTTTTAACTTATGGAGTAACTGTCCCCAGTTCAGGAGACAAATAGGACAGAAGTTATCCTACTACACTGTCCATTTTATTCTGTAACTAATACATGCAAATGTAGAAAAAAAACACTAGGGGTAAGGGCCTTTTGTTCCTGAGCAGTGCTTGTATTACTGAACTAAACATTCTTTTTGGGAATGCCTAGCAAATGGCGTGGTGATTAGGGTATATTGTGGGGAGTATAAGATAAGAGTTTGAACCTCTTCAGAATAATGGAGACCAAAAGCCTAGGTCTCCACTCCCTGGGTAAGTGTCCTAACCAGTAGACCAAAAGTATCCAGCTGGTATCCCACTACTGCCCAGCTGCTGCTTCCCCTCCATCACTGGCTGCTGTTTGCAGCCAGTGTTGCTGGCTTCCCACTTCCTCCCTGCCTCTTGCCTCCTGCTGCTGCTTCTTGCCCTTGCCCCAGGGGCCTGGCAGTATGGCACACAGCACAGGGAGCTGAGGATGAACCTGAGGCTACAGGTGTGCAGGGGACCACACATTGCAGTGATGAAGGGTATACATGGTACAGTGGCGAGAGAGTGCCCATATGAGTACATGGTACAATGAAGGAGAGGGCTGGAGGAGCTGTGTGCCTTGCCTGTTTTGTGAACTTTGGGTTCAGGCCCAAGACTGTGAGTTGTCTTAGTACAATTTGTGACTAGAAGGCTTGTAGACGAAGCAAAACTTCCTCTGGAAATCGTTTAGACATGAACTTTTAGTGCAAGTCCTTCTAATGCAACTCCTTTAACTTGGCTCTTTCACTGGATCATCTAAACAATCCCCATCTGACTTCATGTGAATGTTTGTCATGAAGCATGGATTTCAATTCAGAATATCAGAGAAAGCTGGTATCTTTTAAGTAGTTATCTGAAATTGTAAACTGAGTAATTGTCACAACAGTAATTGCTGATAATCATCAGTTGCAGCACAAAGGAAATAGTTATTACTTTTAGGAAATGCTGAAGATAGTTCCTTAACAAACCATCCACATCTATCATCTTTTTCTTTCTTTTTAGAGGGAGAAACGAAGTTCTAATTTTATGTACTTGATGATTGAGTTTCGTTGTGTTAAATGCGATGATAAAGAATATGGAATAGTTTACTATGAAAAGGTATGTGTCTTGCAGTTTTTATGATCTCCTTTAAAAAGTGAGCCATGCACCAAAAAATGACAGGTTTTCCTGCTGAGATGAAATATTCTGTGGCAAGATAACAGCAGACAGCTGTCACTGGCAGCTGTTTATGTACATACAAATCAAATAGTATAGCTACAACAAGATTACAGAAGTCAATCATTCATGCAGTGTGGTTCAAAATTACAGAATTTAGTAAGAGTGAGTGATTAAAAACTTTTTGATGTATTGTTTCGCAAATAATCAGGTAGTACTTTTAGGGAGACTCTAGGTAAAGTTAGTTCTTGAGTTAAGAGGGAGAGAGACCCATCTGGATCATCCGACTTCAGAAAAGATTGACTACTAAAAATGTTGCCCAAGAGCTGGGGAAATGGACCCATTCTCTTGTCCAAGCAAATAACAGAGACTTATTCCTCCATGTTGTGTGTAATGGTCCGAAAACTTTGTGATCACTCCAGCAGTAAGGTGTTATAGTAAGAGGAGAAAACCTTTTGCTTTGTTATATAACAGTATCTTGCATGAATGTGGCATTTTGCACGTAAGGATTTCAGGCTAAATTACAGACACTCAAAAGTAGCCTGTGAAGTAAGCAAGCATTCTCATTCTAATTTTCCATATAGAAAGATCAGTGTATAGAGAAGCCAGATATTACATCTGATAAAGAGCTTAAGCTTCTAGCTGTTTCCTAACCTTAGAGATGCTTTCTGTCTCTTTCATGGAGAATTACTACACTCTGGGTTTTTTTCTGCTTTGCATTTGGGCGATATCACTTGAGTACAAGTGTGGATGTTGACAAAAATGGGTTTTTACTACCTGGATAAGTTTCCTTGTACTGGGACCTGAACCTTGTAGTGTTTGGTATGGGGTACCGAACTTCCTGTTACCACTGGGAGGACGGATGCAAGAATTTTTAAAAAACAGAAGATACTGGTCTAAATCTGAGGATACACATTTTATTTTGTTTATCGAAGGTCAGACTTCCTTTTTGAAGCAGTCTGAAATTCCAGTGGCACCTTGCTTGCCAGGCAGATTTTGGTTGGCAACTTGTTTTGTCCTCCTGACAGCTCATCCTCCTAGCTCAGTGACATTTCTCTTGTGTCCTGCCCCAGCATCAGAAACACCAAGACTGTCAGGATTTATGGCTGTGGAGCAGTCTGTCTGTTTACCTGTCTGGAAGCCGAGGCTCTATTCTGTCATGGAGAATTACTACACTCTCGTTTTCTTTCTGGTTTTCAGTAACATCAAATTTTGAAGTGCCCAGATCCTCTAAAATAGAATTACTCTGCACAACTCTGCAAACAAGCCTTTTCATTTGAAGCATGACCAAGAAATACAATCTGGGATAAAATAATTTACTAACCATTGTTGCTATGTTTTAATGACACATCTAATTGGAACCTCTTATGTTAGGAAAAACTGGGAGACAATGTGAGTAGGTATCTGTTTTCGCTTTCAGGTTCGACATTCCATAGAAATCAAAAGAATGGCTATTAACATCCTTCCAAAGAAGCCTGAAAATAGGGATGGAAAAACTGTATGTGGACTTTTTGTGAGTTGCACCAGTGTAAATTGAGAATCATTTAAATCAGTAGAGTTCCACAGACACAAAATGGTGTAAGATTCAGAGTCAACATACTTGCAAATTTCCCAAAAGATGTAACCTGAGCACATAAGTGCATGAAACAGATAATTAAATGGGCTGCTCTTCTGCAGAGTGGTGAGATGATAGGGTAATAGGACATTTGCAAATTGCAGTTAATTAAAATTTTAAGGACTTCTTTTTTGGGAAACAGTTTTTCAACAGGTGCCTGACCCATTTTCTGGCAGCAGTGGAAAACAGTTCATAAGTTAGTGCTTGTCTTCTCCAGCTTGTCATGCTTCCAATTACAGTATAAAGATCACCAATCCAGTATATTGAATCTAATGAAACTAGGCTCTGTTGTCACCTGTCTGTGACTGATAGTCTAAGTGAAGATTACTTGTCACACTTGTGTTGATAAATTTGTGCTTTCATGTTTACTGAGAACCCACCTGTTAAACAGTAGCTGATAGAATTCGGGATTCTCTGACTGAACACGTAATTACTACATGTAAAGTCAAGTGGCAAACTCACATAATTCTGATAGGGTTTTCAAGATGTGAGAAGTAGCGATCTGCAGGTAGCTGGAACATGGCTTTCATGTCTCCTATCGGGTGTAAAGATTGACTGTGAATTTCCAAATGCAAGCATCTTTTGTCTTCAAGGAAAGCTGGCCTCTGTTAGGAAAGTTTATCTCTGTATATAGACTTCAAACAAATACACAGGCAGTTTCCGTGCCACATCCATTTTTAAAGGAATTACTCACTTAGAGGATTTTTCCCTGCTTTTTACAACTGTTTTTCTTAGTTTCTTCACTACTGTGTGTCCATTAGGTTCTGGGTGGAGATCCTGGACTTTGGAAGGCTGTTTAGTGTGTCAGTATTATAAGGGTGGGTAAAATTGCTAATATTTTTAGGCCTTGTACAGACATTTAGTTTCTTCTGGGAGAGTTGCTCTCCCAGGAGAAACCACAAGTATACAGATGTGTTCAGGCTTTTTCTCTTAGAGTGAAAATGTCTGGTCCAGGAGAAAAATAACTGGGTAATGAGCAGGGTGAAATCACTCCTTGGAGAGTTTCTCTTGGAGAGCAAATGTCTGTATGTACTGTGACTTCTAGAAGAGAACATAGCCCTCCAGCATGCCAATCCCCACGCTCTCCCCCTTGTCCCTAGGGACATGGCATATTGCTTGCTGAGCTCTGTTGCTCTGCAGAACATACACCACTTCACAATCCCCATGTTGTGCTGCAGGGAAACCCAGGCTGATCTTGGGCAGTCTGGGTGAGCCAACTGTGGCTGCCCTAGTCTACTGGGCAAATACATGGCACCAATGCATAAGGGAACCTGTAGAGATGCATGCATAGCCCCCCGCCTGCAGTGTTAGCACTGCAAGCTCTACACTCTTTAAGGCTTCATGATGCAAATGGCTGTACATTTGGCTTTTAGTAAGTTTTGCTACTCGGAGAACATACCTGGGAAAATTTTCCTGGAGCATTTGAACGTGTGCATGCAACCGTAGTCTGCAAACTGATGACATTTGCATTTCAAGTAGGCTGTTTTTTAAATATATCTAACCCCAATAATATAATTTGGCCCACGAAAACAATGAGAGAACTTGGCTGATTTGCATTTTCTCGTTACATTTTATTCTGTAAAATATGTAAATGGGAGGACAGACTTACCTGCATTTCTCTCTCTCCTCTCTCTTTATCCATCAGTATAGCAGACCTCAGTTTTGGGTGGGGGTTTTTTTCCCCAGTGTTGAATAGCATTAGCTGAAATAACAAGGAAAAAAGGTTAGTCGTTAGGTTTTAAATCTCAGTGTTTAGCCTCAGTGCTATGTAAACATCTCAATGTTTTAAATCATTAAAATACTGAGTTTCACTTCTCTCTCTCTCTCTCTCTCTCTCTCTCTCTCTCTCTCTCTCTCTTTACCCCTGTACCAGTATCTTGAGAGATTTCTTGTGTAGTGGCATAAAGGCATCAACCTTAAATTGTATAGTTTTGATTGTTGCCTTTTTTCCATGCAATTTGACAAGATTAAACAGAACTCAAGATGCTTGCTCTTTTGACTCATAACTTTTTAAAAACTTTAACTGACATGAAGATCAAACATCGGTTATTAGGCTGGGCTTAACATCATCTACAACTCTGTGTATTTTCCTTAGCTAGAAAGTATTATTTAGAGCGTGACTTGTCAGAATTGTGATGGTAAATATGGCACCTTGAAAACCACAGAAAGCTAATAAGTACAGCGAAAGAGCCCTCCTGTGTATGCTTAGTTTGCTGGCACAAAGAGAAGCTTTTACTATAGTCAGCAATGCCGAATCAATATATCTGTAGGAAGAGGAGCTGTATGATAGTTTGTTTCTCTCATTATCCACAAAACTGCCAGCTGTTTCATTCCAAGATAGGGGTAAAGTATGAAGCAGAACAAACACAGCACTTGTTTTGGATCAGACCTGTTCTTGGAGTCAGTTGTGGAAAGAAGAAAAGCGAGCCCACAAGATAAAGGCTTTTTGAGTCCCCTTTATATATTTATTGTTTTCAATGAAAAATAATCCCTTTAACTAGAGCTTGTTGAAACTCAGAATTCTGAGTCCATGGGAAACTTGACACTTAAAATTTTGTCATGGACTGGGCTGAAATATAAGTTTCCCAGGCAAAAGAAGCAGACAAAAGAACTGTTTCAAAAATTATTAAATAACTTCATGAAAATGCTTCCTTTGTACTTTTAATACCTAATTATAAAAATGAAGCGTGTCAGATGTAGGTGAGCATTGATATATTTCCAGGCAACATTATAGTTTCATTGCATCAGCATTTTGCGATGGCAGATTGTTTCATTAGAGAAATTTTGACCTCACGTGCTCTTAAAAATTTAAATCTCTTGGTTGAGTAGCTTGAGCTGACTTATTCTTGAAAAAAACATAAATTAAATATTTCCCTAAATTCTGGCATCTGTTTTCCCTCATCCCCTCTGATACCACTGAATGGCAGCTTCTCTAGAAATTATAGAGGGAAATTGTAACAGTTTTGAGATTTAAAGATCTGATCTGATGCTCTTTCTAACACAGCGCACTGTGATAAACCATCACAATTTGAAATCCTTTGCTGATTTCAAAGTAAATGTTCCATAATGCATATTATCCTTTTCTTATATTCTCTACATTTAAGCAATGCATTCTGCCTTTCTGTCGATCGCATGCAACAGGTACACTAAAAAAAAGAAAGAAAAAAAAGGAAACGACTGAAGTGAATGATAGGAAGGAAGATGAGTCAGACTTCTGCTCTAATTTTTGGTTCAAACACTTAATTCTTCTCAACTTTCTACTCTATGGAAAGTCATAATCTCTGAGGTACAGCACAGGACTCTTCTCTCTTATAGATCAGGAGCAGCCTAGATAAGTACAGTTTGCAAAGATGGGGGAACCATTCCATGTGGACTGCTCGGTAGGGAGAAGGGGTAGTGTACACTTTTGAGATTGTTACATGCTCCAAACTGATGAACCTTTATGTTTGGCTGGCTTGGAGGTATTTTCAAGATGGGTCGCTTAAGATGTCCTTAAATATTTTAGTCATAGTCCTTGAAAATTCTGCTTATAAACAATGGAAATTAGAAGTCTGCTTGGTGTTTATAGACAGTCCCATCACAGACGCATCCTAATGATGAACGTTTCTATCTTTTTCTTCACTAAAATGCTGATGAGTTTAAAAAAACTAAAATTTAATATCCCCAAATATGACACATCAGCATATGGCTTTATCCTCCTGTGTCCTTTTTCTTTTTATCTTCTGAGCTTTATAAAAGGAAAGCTAGAACAATTCCTTTCTATATTTTCTTACCCCTTATGCCCTTTGATGGTTTAATTGCTTTGCATCTTTTTTCCTTTGAATATAGAAAACAATAAGTTGGCATGTCACTTTTGTTTAATCATCTGAGGCATTTAGTGTGCTTTTGATTTATCTTGTCATCCAGGATGGTGATGAGTCATCTCCGATTTTAACAAGCTCTGAGATTGTTAAAATTCCAGACCCACAGATGTCTATGGTAAGTAATTTTCCTTGCAACACAATCAATATTGTAACAATGCTTGTGCTGTGAAGTTTTTATAAACGAAAAACTTTTGAATATTATATCTGATGGTCTTCAGTAGTTTAAATTACAGTACACAAAGAGTGTAGGTTGTAGCTGTGCTGGTCTAAGGACATTGGCAGACTCTTCCTCTGCCTGACAAAGAGTAATTGTACCCAAAAGCTTGCAAAGAAGAGTTTTTCCAACTATTTGGGTTGGTCTAATAAAAGATACTGGATTTACCCAAAGAACCTTGTCTGGCAGTACACACAGAGCTGTCAAAAAAGCCTGTTGATAACAAGTTAAGATTTCACTGTTGAAGTGATTTATTTTAATAGTATGTTTAAAATGTAAAGTTCGGTAAGGTAACAAACTCTTAAAGTAGCGTTTCTGTGATAAGGGAAGGAAAGAAACAAGTTAGAGACAAGGTGAAGATGGGGAAGGATTACACTAGTGGACTAGAGAGGTGGGTGAGGACATATGTTAAAAAGGCACAGAGAAGTAGAGAACTATTGCAGAACTAAAGATATGCAGTTTAAATCTCATGCCAGGTTGTTTAGGTTAAACCTTGTTTTTCCCCTCCACTTTCTTACCTTTGGTCCTTTTGTGTAGGCAGCACCCAACTAAGTTTCTGCAAAAAGTGTCCATCATTATGAATGTTATTTTACTGGCATTGGCCACATCAGACTCCCTAGCACAAGTGGGTTTCTTCTGATGGTTGTTCCAAGTGATCGCATCAGCCTAAAACAGCTGGGAATTATTCTGAGAGTTGTGAAAACTGTGGCTGTTGGAATTATTGTGCTGTTACTCCTCCTGCTGTGGACACCACTTCAGTCGAACTGATATTATCAATACAGAAACTGTAGATGGCAAAATCTGGGGTACTGTTTTCAAAGTGCCTATCACATTTAAGCCCAGTCTCTAAATCATAGAAATATAGATTGGAACACTTGCATTTTCCATAGGGACACTGACAGCAATTAATGCAAAGACAAGAAATGATTATAAGTGCCATTTTGAGTCTAAAATAATATCATTTATATGGAATAAAAATAGCATATTCTGTAAATGGTTTTTTTTTAATCAGTATATCCAGACATACTGTAGTTATGAATTTTAACCAAGTAATACATTATTCAGGACATTATTGAGTCTGGTAGACAGTTTCATTTTGATATTTTTTTTATGGAATTAAATATTTATTGCTGCTGACTTATTCGTTTTCCTTAGGAGAACTTAGTGGAAAGCAAACATCACAAGCTGGCTCGCAGCTTAAGAAGCGGACCTTCTGATCATGATCTCAAGCCTAATGCAGCTACCCGCGACCAACTTAATGTAAGTTCATTTACTTTGAGTAGCTTGTCTGTTAAAAATGGCACTTAATTTTAGCGGATGACTTGGTGTCAATGTACTGATAATTAATACATTAATTAGTGGATACATTTGCATGTTGTCAATATGAGAGCTGCCCACTTGTGAGCCAGCCTACTCAGCTATAAATTACAAAAAATCATTCATCTGATGACTTTCTGAAATGAATGAATGGTATTACTTGAGCTTTGGATGTATGGGAGTTCATGTACTACTCATGCATCATTGCATCTTGACTTAAGTGGCATTTTCAATAGTTTTGGCAGAGAGGTTTTTGGGCACTTTCATCTCTAAGGCTAACTCATGCAACTTCGTGTTAAACTTTGTTTATACAGTAGCCTGGGTAGCAGACTGGCTCAAGGGTCGCGCGCAAGGAGTGGTGGTGGATGGGGCGGTGTCAGCCTGGAAAGGTGTGGGCAGTGGAGTCTGTCAGGGCTCAGTTCTGGGGCTGTTCAACATCTTCATCAGTGATCTGGATGAGGGGGTGCGAAGCACCCTGTCCAAATTCGCGGATGACACAAAAATATAGAGTGAAGCTAACACCCTGGAGAGGAGGAACCAGAAGATCCAGGCTGACCTAGATAGGTTGAGGAAGTGGGCAGAGAGCAACAGGATGCAATTCATAAGGACAAGTGCAAGGTGCTGCATCTAAGGAGGAAAAACTGTCATCGTACCTACAGGCTGGGGGGGTGACCTTCTCAGCAACACTGAGGCAGAAAGAGATCCTGGAGTCACTAACTCCAGGATGAACATGAGTCATCAATGTGATGTAGTTAGCCAATCGTGCATCTGAAGGTACTTCACAGACAGGTCCGTGGAGGTGATTCTCCCTCTCTATACAGCACTGGTCAGGCCACAGCTGGAGTACTGTGTCTAGTTCTGGATGCCACAGTTCAAGCAGGATGCGGACAACCTGGTGAGGGTCCAAAGAAGAGCCACTCATCTGATTAGAGGCCTGCAGGGAAGGCCCTATGAGGAAAGGCTAAGGGACCTTAACCTCTTCAGCCTCTCCAAGAGAAGGCTGAGAAGGGGACCTTGTGGTGGTGTACAAATTCATAAGGGATGAACAACAAGGAACAATGGCCATAAGCTACTGGAGAGAGGGTTTAGACTGGACATTAGAAAAAAGTTCTTCACAGTCTGGGTTGCCAGGATCTGGAATGGGCTTCCAAGGGAGGTGCTGCTTGCCCCATCCCTGGGGGGTCTTCAAGAGGAGACTGGACAGGCACCTGGGACCCTAGGTTTGGTGGCCCTTTTCTTGCCTGCCAGGGGCAGGGGTCAGACTAGATGGCCCACTGAGGTCCTTTCTGACTCTAGAATCTATGAATCGTTGATGTAATATATGGAAGGTCTCCATTCTTTTCTCTTTTGTTTGATGGCCTTTGTCTGTCAGACTCCTGTGTGAGAAGCTAGGTGTTTAACTGGTATTTAGTTTAAAGATATGCAATTCAAATCTCACTGTCAAAGCCCTTGCTGCTTCTGCAGACCTGAAGAGGAATATTTTGTGCCTGAAAATTTGTCTCCAAACTATACAGTTGGTCCAATGAAAGACAGAGGATCAGAGGAAAGTAGGCCTGGAAGAGACCTCATAAGGTCATTTAGTGCAGTTCCCTGCTCCAGGAAGGAGCATCCCTGACTAAACCATCCCAGCCAAGTGTCTGTTTAACCTACTCTTGAAAACTTCCAAAGATGGACCTTCCATAATTGCTTTAGATAGTTTGTTACAATGCTTGGCCACCCTCATAGGCAGAAGGTTCTCCTAATTTCCAACTTAAATTTCACCTGCTACAGCTTGAGGCCATTGCTCCCTGTCCTGATCCCTACAGTCATACCAAAAAGTCTTTCTCTGTCTTCTTTATAATTGTTCTGCAGGTATTTGAAGACTGTTTTTAAATCCCCTCTTAATCTTCTCTTCTCCGGACTAAATAGCCATATGTCTTTTAGCTGTTCCTCATAAGCCTTGCTTCCAGCCATTTTTGTTGCTTTGCGCTGTGTTTTTTCCAATCTGTTCATGTCCTTGAATAGTGGGGCCCAAAACTAGACACAGTACCCCACATGAGATCTCACCAGCATTGAAGGGAGTAGAAAAATCACATCCCTTGATTTTCAAGTGACTTTCCTGTTAATACAACCTAGCATACTGCTAGCTTTTTTTTGCAAGACTACACTCTTGGCTCATATTCAGTTTATGGTCCACTGTAACCCCTAGGTCTCTCTCTGCAGTACTGCAGCCTAGTTTCAAATTCAGGACTTTATACTTGTCCTTGCTGAATCTCATCTGAGTGATTGTGGACCATTTCTCTAGTCTATCCAGGTTATTCTGGATCTTAGCCCTACCCTTTAGAGTATCTACACATCCACCCAACTTGGTGTTATCTTCAGATACGTTAAACATACACTCAGTCTCATCATCAAAATCACCAAAGAATATCACTAAAAAAAAAATCCCTTCCTTCTCGCATTTCCTGGACCATTAGGGCTGCAACACTTCAACCCTACTATAGTCGGCTGTGTTTTCATTATGCCACTTCATTTCACTGAATTCAGCTAAATAAATAAATAGATAAAATATCTGCTTTTTAAAATTATTTTGTGTGTTTGTGTAATTATTTTAATAGATCATAGTGAGCTATCCACCAACAAAGCAACTTACGTATGAAGAACAAGATCTAGTCTGGAAGTTCAGATACTATCTTACTAATCAGGAAAAGGTAAGTTGAATTACTCCTCATGCACTCTAATACAGGAAGGTTAACATAGTTCATTTTCAGCTGCTTCTTTAAATGCTGTGCCTTTATAAAGGGGTGGCAACCTTAGTGAATCAATGGAGTCAATAAAGATGCTTTTTACTGTTGGTACAGGTATAGCAGTAAAGACTGAGCTTCATTTTTTTATAATCATGTCAAAGAGTGCTTTTATAACCATCTCTTTCTTTCAGTTCCCAGTGGATTATTTAAAATGCATTTCTGCAAAGCCTTTTATCTTAACTTCACTTTTCTTTGGCAAAGTAAAATTTTACGCACATTACAAGACATAGGCTTGTATAATCTAGTTAATGGGCCATGGACTTAAGCACTTCGGAGCTGAATAACAATAGTAATTAAAAAGGAAAATAACCTGGATTGATTATCTCATGAATAATATTGAATTGGCTCTAATTAATATCTGTACTTTTAGTCTTGTATGAAGTCCCAGGAAATTTAACTGGAATATATTGAAACATTCAAACTTACAGATTAAAATGATCAATTCCAGTAGAAAGTATTCATCAGTTAAACAAGGCTGAAGATAATGCTGCAGTCTTAGTATATCTGGTTTTTTTGGCTTTTTTTTACATGATCCATAGCAGCCAAGAGTCTAAATTTCTAGAACTGCACAAAAATTTAAATAGGTACTTTTCTGGATGGAGATAGATTTGAGCATGCACTTTAAGTACATGCCAAAGTGGCTTGTTAAATCTGCACATCCTTTTTCCAAGTATGTTCCTCTCTCACTTCCCCTTCCTCTCAGTAGAAGATGATAAAGATTATTCATTGATGCTAGTGATTTGAACATGGGCAATGGCGTACTAAAAATTTACTCCGATCATGAAGGGAGTACTCTTAAAAGGTGGGTCAGGAAAACTTGACATGTCCCATTTGGTTTGCTATACTTTTGGCTTTTGCTTCCATTGACACCATCGTTTCTTTTCAGTAGTGGATATTGTATATAAAAGAAGGTAGTGGTTTATTGGTTTTGTTGTTTTCTTCAGGTTTCTATGAAAGGTGTTCTGGAGAACATTAGATTAGTTCAGGAGAGGCCTGAGTAATTGCAGTGAAGCATTAGTTCCTCATGCCGATATGTCATACACCTTCCTGTCAAGGTCCAGAAGAACCAAGTCTCTCTTACATGCTTCAGAGAAAGGAGCATTTAAAATAGCATGAGCATTGATTGGATAAAACAGTTCAGTTAATATTTTGGGTCACATGAAAGTTGGGTTTTTTAAAGCAAAGTTTTTTGGAAGTTATATTTTAGTCAGAAAGATGAAGTCTCTGTAATACAACACAATGGGTGCGTCTGCACAAGACGCTTACTGCACATTAGCCTAATAACACTGCACAGTAGTGTGTCATGGCAAAAACTGCTAATTGCCTACTGTGCAGTGTTATTAGGTTAGTGCACAGTAAGTGTCACTAAATAACGATGCTATTGCACAGTAACTTTAGGTACTGCTCATTTAGTTAGTACTTTATTAAGGAAGTACTAAACTAAATGCATGGTATCTAAATTGCATTAATGAACATGTAGACGTGCCCAATCTGTGTTTAAATGCACATTAATATGTAAAACAGAGATTTCCAATTAGCAGTGGAGCTGGATTTCAAGCAAGTATAGAACTTTATGGGAGTGGGGTGAGAAACTTGTAAAAAGATTTAGAGGTTTAAGCAAGTATTTGAGTCGTTTTGAAATTTAGTTTAGTTTCTCTTACATGTGAAGGAAATGAAATGTTCCAAACAAGTGTCGACTGTGAAATTGCTTTAATCAGTTTGTTCCAGGTTTCTGGAGAGGTAGGTGATGAAGTGAGCTGTATGAATCTCAAACCCAAGCATACTGAAAAGTGTTCATGATAACTTTTGAGGAAAGTAAAATACTGGAGCTAAAACAGCAGGACCAAGGAACTATTTCCGTAAATTTTTAAGTAAAATATTTAGAAACAAAGTCTGTTTCTTCAAGTTTTCAGAGTTCTATGAGTTAGAATATTCTGGTTCTAATACAGCCTTTTTCTAGGGCTGATGTAATTATAAGGAGTTCTTTCCTGAAGTGTACCTGTAAACTTCATGATAATTACTGGGAATTGAATATACTCATTGGGAAGAGAATAGTTTGAGCTTGTGATTACTGCTAGAGAGGATAACATTTCCTAGTAGTATAACACCTAATTAAGCTTCAAAACACCTATAAAAAAGTACATTCGTATTAACACCTGTGTCTTACAGCTGCAACGGCAATGGGGACTCAGACTGTGACTTGTTTAAAATGTGTTGTAGGTACACTGGTTTAGGTACCATGTACAGGACCTAATTCTGACCCTTCATTTGTGTAGTCCCTAATAGTGTGTGGTTGACATTGGATACCATATTCACTTTTGTAATAACCTTGTTTTTTCCCCAAAAGTTTGCAACTACAAATTAGACTGCAGCCATTATGTGCACCTGAGAAAGTGACTAAGGCAGAATTAATGCTAAATGTGTTCCACCATCCATTCATGCTTCGCTAGCAAATGCAACTGTGTAGATAAGACTGAATGTGGAGTGGAGCTAATGAATGACATGGTATGGGTTTCCTGGGAAGGGTGCGCTCTATTTTTCAATACAAAGTGTCTTAAAAGAAATCTCTTTTGAATGTGTTCCTTTAGTAGAAATATGAATGTGACCATTGTATGGATAATTTTTATTTATTTTTTATTTGTGGAAATATTCAGCCATGTTGGTAGCATACCATATACAGCTGTTATGCTGGTAAATATGGCATAGGCAAATACATTGCAAATCAGATCTTCTGAAATAAATTAAACTTAACAGCTTACTTTCTCTCATTATGCCCAGGACCCAGCACTGTAACTGTAAACCACTTGACTTGTTAGAGTTTGTTGTTGACCAACTCCACGTGTTAAAGGGAAAAGTCCTGTTAATGCAGTTAAATGTAATGGGTCAACTTAGAATAATGCAGTTTACTTAGGGTTACTCAAATATATTTGAAATCAAATTTGATCCAACATCTGGAGTTAGTGTAACTTTTTAAATAATCCAGTTGACTTTTTTTTTTAAGAGCTGCTCAAAACTAGTCACTTTTTTAATCTTATTTTTTTAGGCTTTGACTAAATTCTTGAAATGTGTCAACTGGGACCTACCTCAAGAGGCAAAGCAAGCGTTGGAACTGTTGGGCAAGTGGAAGCCAATGGATGTGGAGGACTCTCTGGAGCTTTTGTCATCTCAGTTCACCAATCCGACAGTGCGGCGATATGCTGTAGCCAGGTTGCAACAGGCAGATGATGAGGTATTGAAGTAATAGGATTGTTATGTGGATGTCCTTTACTATGATCATAAGAAAAATGAAACCTTAATAGAATAACATCTGAAATCTTTTTAGCTCCAAATAAAAATGTCCTTCTGAACCAGACTCCTTGTCAAAGGAAGACAGTATCAGGATTGCTTGAGATTTACAAAAGCTAATTTTGAAGCAAGCAGGTTCATGCCAAAAACAATGTTTTCTTATAGTTAGGGACCTGCTTAAACCACAGCAAAATGAAGGGTTTTTTGCAGCCTGTTCACAGCTTGTGAGTACAGAATGTCTGCAGTGTTAGCTAATACCTGAGTATATACAATATTTACTCAAATCCAAGGTCGTATGGCTGCTGAAGCTTTGGCTCCAGCAGAGTCCCGAGCTCATGGCCACAGTTGCAGCCACAGCTGCTGCGAGCCTCACAGCTGCTGGGGCCTGAGCCAAAGTTGCTACTGCTGCAGCTCCTGCTACCTGGCTGGGAGGGGCTAGAGCCAGAGCCACAGTGTGATCTGTGCCGCAGGCCAGATTAGGACTAGCAGTGGTTGCATAACTAAGTGTAAGTCAGGGGTGGGGATAGGTGTTGGAGATGGTTAGGCCGCTTGACTTCCCTGGCACTGACGCCTGCCATTGCTTGCCTCCCTGCTGCTACTTTCCCTGCTGTAGCAATGGGGAGGTGGATTAATTTTAAGGCAACCTTCCAATAATTAGATTCTAGGCATAGAAAATGATAACACATTTATTAATTTTCCATGTACAGTAAAAGCTGCATTATCCAGCACTTTACCTTCCAGAAATCTCTATTAACCAGCATCTGTCATAGACGGCATCTTGCTGTTCGGGATGCTGCCGATGGTGTTGCTAGCGGCAGTCTCAGCCGCCATTGTGATTGCATTGAGCTTGTGCTGTGACTTATTTGCTGAATATTGCTGAATATCTCACCCATCTTGCAACTATGGGTACCTATACTTCATCAACAAGCAGAGGACAGAAGCGAAAGCATGTTGTTTTAACGATTACACAGAAATTGGACATAATTAAGTGCCTAGAGAAAGGAGAAAACAGGCACAGGTTGATGCAGGAATTCAGTGGTGGCTCGTTTATGATCTACGGCATCAAGTTGCAGAGCGCAGAGTTACTCCAGTTAGTGACGAATTCTGAGACAAGTAAAGCAATTGAGCAACGCTGTACTCTACACAAACCAAAATTGAAACAATTAGACAAGATATTGTACGATTGGTTTGCTTTAAAACATTTGGAGAGTGCTCCAATTTCTGGCCCAATGCCAATTGAAAAAGCAAAAGACTTCTGTCAACAAATGGGAATGACTGAGGCCTGCATTTTTTCAGATGGATGGTTGTCTTGCTACAAACTTCATCACGGTTTCAGAAGGCTTGATATGTCTGGAGAAAAAAAGTCTGATCATGAGGCTGCTGAAAAATATTATGCGCTTTTCCAGAAATTGGTTGTGAAGCATGGCATAACCTCAGAGCAGATCTACCACACTGATGAAACTGGCCTTTTTTGGCGTTTTCTGCCAACTTCTACCCTGGCTGGTGTAGGTGAGGTTGGTGAAGCTGGTTCTGAGAAGAGCAAGGACCGCCTGACTGTGCTTACGTGCGCAAATGCAGCGGGCACACACAGAATCAAGCTGCTAGTGGTGGGAAAAGTCAGGCGACCAAGAGCATTCAAGGGTGTCATACATCTACCTGTTGAGTACAAGGCACAACCTAATGCATGGATGGACAAGAAAATATTTTTGCACTGGTTTCATCATGTCTTTGTACCAGCAGTGAAAGAGCCTCTGAAGAAACTTGGAAAGCCAGAAGACACAAAATTTATTCTGATTTTAGATAACTTGAGCTCACCCTCCTGAAGCAGAGTTGGTGTCTAGAAATACTTTTACCATCTTCCTGCCTGCAAATGTCACCTCACTCATACAGCCTATGGATCAGGGAATTATCGAAACCCTGAAATCCATCTACAGAAGGGATTTTTATGAGGAAGCTACTCAACTATGAAGGCAGTCTCCAAGAATTTCAGTTGCAGTACACCATTAAGGATGCAGTTTTCAACGTGGCATGCGCCTGGTGTGCTGTGAAGAGTAGAACTTGAAGGAAGGTTTGGAGAAAAATGTGGGCAGCAGTGATGTTTGCAGAGGGAACTTCTGATGAAGAAGAATTGGCAGGTTTCAATGTGAGACAGGAAGAAAACTTCATTAAAAGAGATTCTTGATGTCCTTCAAAATGGTGACCGCACTAACCCACTCATTAAATTCAGAGATACTGAACTTGAAGAGTGGGTAAACATTGATCAATACCTTGATGTTGCGCAAACCCTTACTGATGCTGAAATTATAGAAACGTTTGTGCATCCTGAGAGATCTACTGCACCTGAACAAGACTTGGAGGAAGAAGATCACAGTGAAGAAACTAAAGTGGCTTGGGCTACTGCCGCACAATGTCTGGAAACATGTTTGAAATTTGCTGAGCAGCAGTTCTTCGTATTCTGCCCAGGAAGTGATGCAGCATTGTCTTGTTCACAACAATTCTGTGAAAAAAAAGGCAACTGACTTGCAGGCAGGCATCCACAGGTTGCTTCAAAGAGCTTCTGCAGCTTGTGTCAAGGATCAGATATTAGTGTTGATGTTGATGATCCTCAAGAAGAGCCACACTCTGGAGCAGAGCCACATTTCGAGGCAACCTCTGATCCCAAGGTGCTTTCAGAAGCAGCTGAGAGGCAGTAATTATACAGTATGCTATTTACTATATTATTTCTCGTATCATAGTTAAAATATTAAAAATTGTTATATCATAATTAAAATGTTATATTAAAGTTATAATGTTATATTAAAAAGTTAATTATATTAAAAGTTATAATAATGTTATATTAAAAATTATATTAAAAGTTGTTATATCATAGTTAAAATGTTATGTTAAAAGTTATAATAATGTTATATTAAAAAGTTAATTGTATTAAAAGTTATTATATCATAGTTAAAATGTAGGCTTAGTTTCTTTCTTGAAACCCCCCCATAAAGTATAACTCTCAGATAACCAGCATATTTGATTAACCAGAACCCCCCTATTGTCCATGGATGCCGGATAACAGAGCCTGTACTGTATAAAATATAATTACTGGAGTGTCATCTTGAATTCAAAATTACTGTGATAATTATGAAAATAAGATGCAATACTCAGTGTACATGTGATGGGTTTTTTTTTTCTTATGGTTATGAAACACAAGTCTTCCTAGTATGTATCAGTGTTCTCTGATGCTCGTCTTCAACCATGCAGAGTTTATGAAATCGTAAAGTTTTCATTATTGTAGATATTATAAGTAGGGACCTACTTAATTTACGGTTTCTCAGATTTTGCAGAATCCTCAAAATCAACGAAAAAAAATTAATAACAATAAAATCCCGGCTCCCCAGTAGGAGCCAGTGGTGGGAGGGGAAAGCGGTGGCTGGTGGGGAGCACGAAGGGCAGCAGACAAGATAGTGGCTGCCCCCTCATCTCTCTTCCCCTTGCCGGGGCCTCTGTGCCAATCGGTAGTGAGGATCAGGGTGACATGAAGAGCAGCCAGCAATCAAATGGTCTCTGCCTCCACATCCCTCCTCCCTCCTGTGATCTCTCCACGAATAAGTGCCATGAAGATATGCCCACAAAATTGGCTTTGCAAGCTGTGAGCAGGCTGCAAAAAACCTTTTGTCTTGCTGTGATTAAAGTAGGTCCCTAATTATAAGAAAATATTGTTTTTGGCATGAATCTGCTTCCTTCAAAATTAGCTCTTTAGTAAATCTCAGGCAGTCCTGATACTGTCTCCCTTTGACAAGGAGTCTGGTTGAGAAGGACATTCTTGTTTGGAGCTAAAAAGGGTTGAGATGTTATTTGTTTTTAAAGACTTATGGAAAGCACAGGCTGTGACTGGTGCCAGCTTAATTCAACCTAATATTTTTTCTAGGTTTTTTTTATAGATGGAATATGTGTGGTTCTCATTTTTATGGTGACAGATTCTGTGAACATATTTCTCTGTTTCTGGATACATGACAAGTTTTTAAAATGCAACACAGCAATACCCAGCTCACAGTAAGCTACACAAATAGTTCATTAGTTAGCATTCCCTCCACTTCTAGATTCATTCCATCTTTCGTATGCTACATGATATTCTTGATCCAAAAAAGGCATACCTTGCTACATGCTTTTTTTAAAGGCCATTAAACTGGCTAATGTATTTGTTCGACTGTGACCACCTATGCCACTTCTGGAGTCCTCAAGGATTGAAATGTAGGGTCTGTTATGTTTTTTTTGTTCTTTGCTTCTATGATAATCCAGAAGGGAAATATCATAGGCATCGAAGTCCCACACTGAATAGCTTTTACAGACAAAAGTCAAGAACATTAAGTTAACAATATATAAATTGTAAGGATGATAAAAACTGTAACTGTGGTAAGGCATGAAGCAGACCTGTTCCAGCTTCTCTAAAGGGACAGCTTCTCTAAATTAACTATAATGGCTCTTTATTTCTTGTACTGATGATTGCTTTTATTATGAGGTACTTTTTGTGTGACTGTGTGCATTTTAAGCTACTGTTTTACCTTGCAGCGGCTGCTACTGTCTCTCTGCCTCACTTTCTTTCAGTGATGAAACTGTGACATAGCTTCTGCATGTGGACTGGTTCTCCAAAGTACAGAGCACCCCATATCCTTGATTGCTCTCACTGTTTGTTTCTCTCCCCAAGGATTTGCTGATGTACCTGTTGCAGCTGGTTCAAGCACTAAAATATGAAAATTTTGATGATATAAAGAATGGTCTAGAGCCAAACAAGAGGGACAGTCAGGGATCCATATCAGACAGTATGGCAACATCTGGAACAAATGGCACAGAAATAGATAGGTAAGTAGATATTGCTTTTGGAAGGGAAGGAAGAAAGCTCTAGCACTGAACCTCTGATTCTCCTTTGCAAATGTGCTTTTTTACATTGGTATTTACTTAGTTTAGGGGTGTCAAACTTATCCAGCCCTGCATGCTGGATAAATGCCCCTGAACTGGTCCTCAAGTTGGACTGGGACCAAGCCCCTGTGGAGACCCTGTGGTGTTGGGTCCTGCCCATGCCGGCCCTGTGGAGCCAGCACAGAGTGCTCACTGCCTGTGTTGTGTAGGCTGGACCTGGCACTGCAGGCAGCACAGGATTAGTCCAGGGCACTCCATTCAGCCCTTGCCCTGAACTTCCTGCGCTGTGTGCAGCGTTGGGTCTAGCCTGTGTCCTTTGGGTAGTGTGAGCCCTGTGCTGACCCTGGGGGCTGCATGCACAGTAAGCCTTGGAGCCACTGCATGTTGCCTGCAGCACGCAGGGCTGGACTAGCTGCACATGCTGAACACAGCACGGGGAGCCAGTGTGAGGCATGTGCTCCACGTGGCGTCCTGCTGTCTAGCCCTGCACTCTGGTTCTGGGTCCGGCAGGGTGCTGCATAAAGATGTGTCCTGTGCCAGTCCCTGGCGCTGTGTGTAACATGAGCAGCTTGTCTAGCCACTGTACCGTGGGTGGCATGCACTGGCCCCTCGACAGCCCTGCTATGCTGCCTGCAGTGCATGTGGGCCTGGGGCTGGTCCAGTGATCCATGGACTGGATCATACGACTCCACAGGCTGAATTTCTTGGATGGCTTTGGGTTTTCTTTGGTATCATTTGCTGAGCCAGTAATAGCACTGTTTTGCTTACTGACTTTAAACTGAGTGAAAATTTTAACTGAGAGGTAAAAAACTTTTGTTATGCAGTAGATTATATTGAAGTGAGGGTGTGGCCGAACAGTAAGCAGCCAATTCTATGGGTTTCTTAGGGACAGTGTAAAAATGCTGCAAATAGGTTTTTCAAAAGTCCTGGCCACTTATCTTTTATGAAAAGAGAAATAAAAGGGAAAGTGCTAAGGTCCCTAACTGCTTACCTCCAGTACTGGAAATTTACTACTTAATCATCCACCCTGTAGGAACACATGATCCTTATTCAGCTCTCCAGTGGAGGGCATCGCCAATCACCCTCAGTCCTTACCACCTTACCATCAGGACTGTCATTCCCAGGCTTTACATTCTAGTAAAACACAGAACAGACTAAGCTCTTGAAACTTTTTTTTAAGTTTCTAAGAGAAGTCCTGGGATAGAATGCGACGTTGTCCCATTGCTGGCAGCCGTATGCTAGCATCTAAGTTAAATGGTGGCTGTGAAATCTTCTCTTCCAGTTTTTTTTTGTTTTGTTTTTTTAACTATAGCCAGCGAAGTAGCTACCAAAGCACGGACCTTCTCCAGTACTGCTCTAAAGCATTGCTCAGTATTCTTCACCATCTTCCTGCCCTTTTGTTTTGGAGCTTAACCCTGGTGCTTTGGGGTGTCGGGGAACAGCGGCCCCAAGGTCACGGTGGGCCGAGAGTAGTGTCGGATCGGAACAGGTGGGAGTAGCGGCGAGGAGTCTGAGCGGTACAGGACACGTGCGGTTTCAAATGAAGTTGATTTATTTACTTACACTTTTAGAGCGTAGGCAGAAATCTTGCTTTGGGTACAGTATACGAAGAAACAACAAAGGTGTCTGTTGGCCCACGGGGTTCTTGAGTGAGCCCTTGCTTTCTAGCCGGAGCTAGGGGCGGCTGCCCAAGTCGATAGTCCCAGGGCTGGTCAACAGCTCATTGACCGGGATAACAAACAACAGAACTGTAACATGTAGAATGTCGTGACGCCAGTCCAGTGTGGACGAAACGGGTGGTCGTTAAGATGCCGAAGTCAATGTGGAGGTCGAAGTTACAATGTCGTAGCCAGTGGTTGAGATGCGGGATCGTGGTCGAGGTCGAAGCTGGAAATTAGTTCGTTAGCCAGAGATCAATATGGAATAATCAGATCAAGACGAATCGAATAAATCGCAAAATCATAGCTGTGAGGAGACCAGTGGGCCGAAAGCCCTCCTGAGGAGCAGTCCCTGCAGCAGCAGCCTCTGCTCTCAGGATCGGTTCGATCTCTTCCTGTGAGACAGTCTCAGCTAAGGCAGTATCTGTTGAACAGGTTGAGCGTGGTCTTCCCCCCTGAGGAGCAGTCCCTGCCAATAGCAGCCTCTGGTCTCAGGGTCGAATCTCTCCCTGTGAGACAGTCTTTGCTAAGGCAGTATCTGTTCACAGGTCGAGCATGGTCTCCCTCCTGAGGAGGAGTCCCTGCATTAGCAGCCTCTAAGCCCACTGGTCTCCTGTAGAGGAGACCAGTGGGCATAAAGCCCTCCTGAGGAGCAGTCT